ATGTTACTTTCGCATTCAAAGTGTTCCACTGGATTTTACTTTGGCATTCAAAGTGTTTCACTACATTTTACTTTCACATTCAAAGTGTTCCACTGACTATTACTTTCTCATTCAAAGTGTTCTAATGGATTTTACTTTGGCATTCAAAGTGTTCCACTGACTTTTATTTTGGCATTCAAAGTGTTCCACTGGACTTTACTTTCATATTCAAAGTGTTCCACTGACATTTACTTTGACATTCAAAGCATTCTACTGACATTTACGTAGACATTCAAAGCATTTCGCTGACTTTTACTTTGGCATTCAAAGCATTCTACTGACTTTTACTTTGGCATTCAAAGTGTTCCACTGACTTTTACTTTGGCATTCGGACTGTTCCACTGACTTTTTCTTTGGCATTCAAAGCATTCCACTGACTTTTACTTTGGTATTCAAAGCATTCCACTGACTTTTACTTTGGCATTCAAAGCATTTCACTGGATTTTACTTTGGCATTCAAAGCATTCCACTGACTATTACTTTCGCATTTAATGTGTTTCACTAACTTTTACTTGGGCATTCAAAAAATTCCACTGCATTTTACTTTGGCATTCAAAGTGTTTCACTGACTTTTATTTTGGCATTCAAAGCATTCCATTGACTTTTACTTTGGCATTCAAAGCATTCCACTGACTTTTACTTTGGCATTGAAAGTGTTCCACTGTATTTTACTTTGGCATTCAGACTGTTCCACTGACTTTTTCTTTGGCATTCAAAATGTTCCACTGACTTTTACTGTCATAGTGAATGTGTTCTTCTGACTTTTTCTTTGGCATTCAAAGCATTCCACTGGATTTTATGTTGGCATTCAAAGTGTTCTACTGGATTTCACTTTGGCATTCAAAGTATTCTACTGACTTTTACTTTTACATTCAAAGTGATCCACTGACTTTCACTTTGGCATTCAAAGTGTTTCACTGACTTTTACTTTCACATTCAAAGTGCTCCACTGGATTTTACTTTGGTATTCAAAGCATTTCCCTGACTTTTACTTTGGCATTCAAAGCGTTCCACTGATGTTACTTTCACATTTAATGTGTTCCATTGACTTTTACTTTGGTATTCAAAGCGTTTCCCTGACTTTTACTTTGGCATTCAAAGCATTCCACTGACTTTTACTTTCACATTCAAAGCATCCCGCTGACTTTTACTTTGGCATTCAAAGCATTCGACTGACTTTTACTTTGGCATTCAAAGCATTCCACTGACTTTTACTTTGGCATTCAAAGTGTTCCACTGACTTTTACTTTGACATTCAAAGCATTCCACTGACTTTTACTTTGGCATTCAAAGCATTCTACTGACTTTTACAAAGACTTTCAAAGCATTCCGCTGACTTTTACTTTGGCATTCAAAGCATTCCACTGACTTTTTCTTTGGCATTCAAAGCATTCTTTGACTATTACTTTTGGCATTCAAAGAATTCCATTGACTATTACTTTGGCATTCAAAGTATTCCACTGGATTTTACTTTGGCATTCAAAGCATTCCACTGACTTTTACTTTGGCATTCAAAGCATTTCACTGGATTTTACTTTGGCATTCAAAGCATTCCACTGACTATTACTTTCACATTTAATGTGTTTCACTAACTTTTGCTTGGGCATTCAAAAAATTCCACTGCATTTTACTCTTTGGCATTCAAAGTGTTCCACTGACTTTTATTTTGGCATTCAAAGCGTTCTACTGACTTTTACTTTCACATTCAAAGTGTTTCACTGGACTTTACTTTCACATTCAAAGCATTCCACTGACATTTACATAGTCATTCAAAGCATTCCTCTGACTTTTTAGCATTCAAAACATTCAACTGACTTTTACTTTGGCATTCAAAGCATTCTACTGACTTTTACTTTGACATTCAAAGCATTCCACTGGATTTTACTTTGGCATTCAAAGCATTCTACTGACTTTTACTTTGGCATTCAAAGTGTTCCACTGACTTTTACTTTGGCATTCAAAGCATTCTACTAACTTTATTTTGGCATTCAAAGCATTCCACTGATGTTACTTTGGCATTCAAAGTGTTCCCCTGGATTTTACTTCGGCATTGAAAGTGTTTCACTGGATTTTACTTTCACATTCAAAGTGTTTCACTGCATTTTACTTTCACATTCAAAGTGTTCCACTGACTCATACTCTGGCATTCAAAGTGTTCCACCGAATTTTACTTTGACATTCAAAGCATTCCACTGACTTTTACAAAGACATTCAAAGCATTCCACTGACTTTTAGTTTGGCATTCAAAGCATTCCACTGACTTTTACTTGGGCATTCAAAAAATTCCACTGCGTTTTACTTTGGCATTCAAAGTGTTCCACTGACTTTTACTTTGGTATTCAAAGCATTCCATTGACTTTTACTTTGGCATTCAAAACATTCCACTGACTTTTACTTTGGCATTCAGACTGTTCCACTGACTTTTACTGTCATAGTGAATGTGTTCCTCTGACTTTTTCTTTGGCATTCAAAGCATTCCACTGGATTTTTTTCACTTCTGCATTCGGAGTGTTCCACTGACTTTTTTTTTGGCATTCAAAGTGTTCCACTGACTTTTACTTTCACATTCAATGTGTTTCACTGACTTTAGTTTGGCATTCAAAGCATTCCACTGACTTTTACTTTCACATTCAAAGCATTCCACTGTCTTTCACTTTGGTATTCAAGGCTTTCCACTGACTTTTACTTTGGCATTCAAAGTGTTTCACTGACTTTTGCTTTCACATTCAAAGTGTTCCACTGGATTTTACTTTGGTATTCAAAGCATTTCCCTGACTTTTACTTTGGCATTCAAAGTGTTCCACTGACTTTTACTTTCACATTCAATGTGTTTCACTGACTTTAGTTTGGCATTCAAAGCATTCCACTGACTTTTACTTTCACATTCAAAGCATTCCACTGACTTTCACTTTGGCATTCAAGGCTTTCCACTGACTTTTACTTTGGCATTCAAAGTGTTTCACTGACTTTTACTTTCACATTCAATGTGTTCCACTGACTTTTACTTTGGTATTCAAAGCGTTTCCCTGACTTTTACTTTGGCATTCAAAGAATTCCACTGACTTTTAGTTTGGCATTCAAAGCATTTTACTGACTTTTACTTTGGCAATCAAAGCATTCCACTGGATTTTACTTTGGCATTCGAAGCATTCCACTACTTTTACTTTCAAATTCAAAGCATTCCACTGACTTTCACTTTGGCATTCAATAGCAAACCCCAAATCATCCGAAGTGAACGTCCATTTCTCGCATGCTACTCGTAATTCTGAATCTCAGATTAAATCGAATCGAAGAAAATCTACTACGTCTGAGCCCAAACTACGCAGAACTCTGCTGAAAACAGCTAAAATTCCTACATCATATAATGGAAATACTTCACAGTGGAAATACCGCCACAGTGTTATTTGATGAAGGGGCCGACCGTAGCTTTGTTACTCAAGGGTTCGCCAACAAATTACGCGCTAACGTACATTCATCAGAAGTTTTCAATCTCAAGGCGTTTAGCAACCAGCGTACCGGATATAAAACCATCCCGCGTACTACATTTGAATTTACATAAACGTGATGGTACCACCACTCCTATTGACTTGCTTT